AAAACATCTGAAGCGGCTTTTTCCTTTTCAGTCTCGTAAAAATTTTTGAGTGGGACATTAAATTCAAACAAGAGTGATAGGATGAATTTGTATTCGTTTATGGTATTTTCAGACCACCTTTTTAGCTTTAGCTTTTTTTTTACTGGAATTAATCTACCATAAGGTCGCGATTGATGTTAGTTACATATCATGAAACGTTTACCATTACTCGTAGAAGTTTAGACTGAAATCTTTGAAGAATTTCGATGTTGCATGTTCAGGTTGTTTCCCATAGTTGAATGCTATAGGTCCATTACTGGTTTTAGCACACTTTTGTATAAACGTGTTTCGATATATGTACTTTTAAAAATATACGAATGTTTACTAAAACTACTACAAAAATATTCGATTGGACAATAAAATTTGATACATCGAGAACAAAACTAGATCGAATCCAGATTTACGAATTGAAAACATCATAAGTTAAATTTAAATACTAAAAAACTTTTTTTTTCATAATCTAGCTCTTAGATATTTATTTATTTTTTTTAACATGAGCCTAATTGACTTATAGTTTGCCTGCAAATTTTTCACGACATTGATTAACAGTTTTTAAAAAAAAAATTATCAAAAACCTTTCTAATGCCTTACACTTTGGATAAAATTCTGGGCATGTTGCAAATTTTGGAAAAAAATTTGTGTATTGTTGAAGAATATAACACAAATATTACAATAAACCCTTTAGGTTATTTTTGTATTCTTCGGGGTAATTTCAAAGAACTAGATAAACAAGCCCATAACTTCTATAACTCGAACTGTCAGTGGAGACTTCGAGTTAAAGAAATTTTTTGTAATTGTATGTAATTCGTTTTCTAAATTCTGTTGCACTCTATTTAGTTTGAGTTATGGGTAAATTGTTATATAAGTTTGACTGTGTATATATATATATATATATATATATATATACTATATATATACTTCTATAATTCGAAGTATCAGTTTGCAAAGAAAAGGTCCGACTTATGGAGACTTCGAGTTAAAGAATCCTGTTGCACTCTATTTAATTCGAGTTAGATTAAATTATTCGAGTTAAAGTTATATATATATATATATAATATTTATACTAAAACATAATGACAATCTATTAGAAAGCTTATTAAAAATGAAAGGAAATGAAGCATGTACCACTTCAAAAAAGAACAGTCCATACTTTCATTATAAAATTATTTTTAAATAATATTTCTACGGGTATACATCTAAATATATTAATTATCTTTTTTAAACTTTATTAATGGGTAATTTTTGAACTACCAGAAAATGTTTAACATTCAAAATATGCTCTTGCCTTAAACCCTACTAGAGTGTGTGATTAATTCACGCGATCGCATGCCGAAAGTCGTCAGTCGTGTAGAGTGCAGAACGACTTACGCTCATTTGTACTCATCGCAAGCAATGATTTTGCGAGTTTGAGATACAAATTCAAGCGAAGCAAAAAGTATCTGAGCACGTTTATGAGCATATCTCGCAATTATTACAGTATTTTTTCAATTAAACAAGGCAACACATTGCTCGTGACTTCAGTTAAGTTTCAGTTACCCGCGCGTTACAATCCAACCTCGAGCAACGAAAGTCGTTAGTGCCGTAGAAATAGTTTTCGCTTTCACAGTTCCACGTTAAGTAAACAAAAAATAAAAGTAAAAACGGAAATTCGAGAAGTAAAAGAAAAGTAAACGTGAATGTTTACCTTTTAATTAGTGTGAATTTTTCTAAGAGTTCTCAAGTCGTTTAGTCGTTTAGTCGCAGTTCTGTCTGTTGTGATATCACAAGACGTTCCGCAAGTCGTCAACTTCGCAAGTTACGATTAAAAATTTGCGCTGCAAGTGCTGAAAGCGTTTGAAATTTTCCTCAGTGAAAGTGGAAATCAAGTGTCGGTTTCTTGTTTTATTGGCCCGTGAACCCGCCTTGCATTAAACAATTCCATTACCCGCAATTGCCGTCAAGCTTTTCATGTAAGTAAAATTGTTTTCTTGGTCTTCGGTCAATTAGTTTGCTTGATCGAACTGGGTCAAGCGGCGCTTATCAATTATTGAAGGGCAAAGCGAAAACCAACAACACAGACGTTTAATTATGATTAAATCTTTTTCGGAGAATTATAAATCATTTTGTGTGTTCTAATAAGTGCTTCTTCTATTCGAAACGCTTCGTAGGGTTGAACGACGTCTTCCAATAATAAATCTATTTTTATACGAAAATGTGTCATCGTTGCTGTTATGTTCAATGTGATTTTGATTAGTGTATCAAATTTTTGAAAAGTAAACAATACAGTGCCGCAATCAAGAAATTGGAGTTTGTACAACGCCTTTCGTAAAATAGTATATTTGTGTATATTTTATATCACTAATAAAAATTAAGTTAATAATTGAAAGTGAAATCAAAGTCATTATAGAATAATTGAAATTCAATTCTTCAATTAATTTAAAAAAAAATATAACCGCAAGTATTTAGTGACTAAACTACTCGGTATATACACAGAGAAGATAAGTATTTTTTATAGCTGTTTTAACCACTTTATTTAGGGATGTAAAATATAAGATTCTAAAGCATTCGAATCTATTAAGTACACTGCCCCATCAATGTTATCTAGTTTCACGTTTAAGAATGCGCAATATGTCGCTCCAAAATAACTTAATATGGTGGGGAATAACGATCAAGTTCTTCTATTTAGTTACATGATTAGATAAACGAACTATGAAGCTATTAAGCAAATTTATCTAATGATAATAATAAAAAAACAACATTATCTAGTTTTAGACTTGAAGGGACAAAATCTGATGCTCTAAAGTAGTTTAGAGTAACTTTTCTGATCTGTTGGGTATAGTATATTAACGAACTACAATATTAAGAAAGTTTTTCTACAGTTAAAAATATAGTAAAAAAGTCAAGGTTATCTAGTTAGATTAGAAAGACAAAATATAATGCTCTAAAAAGTAACTAACTCTAAAGCATTCCCAAAGAGGTTTCTTAGGTTTGGTATATCAACGGTGGTAATATAACGAGCCAATATTTTAGTTAATTGAGCTGTGTTGTACAAGGTTGCCACTACAACTTAACTTAATCTTAATAAATATACTAGAATAGTAATATAGTGATGATAGTGTTTTGACTAATTTTAAAGCATTCGCAACCGATAGGTACCTATAACGACAGATCAGTGCTTTAATCGGACATATTAAAGGTTAAAAAATAAGAAGTCTTAAAGCTTAAATAAATCAGTATAGTAATATGTTACTACCATCTGGTTACAAATTAAGGAAAAATCTAGGGTTCTGAAGCATTTAAAGCCGATGGGGATATCGATATACAAATGCTATAGTGATCTATCACTGTGCTCACCTGATTTATGTTATATACTTTAAAATGTCAAACTTAACAGCACTCAACAGGTAATCACATGGTTTTGAACTAACTCTAAACCTTTTAAATAACTATTTCAGAACATTATATATATTTTTTATCTTTAATCATGAAGCTAGATACTATTGGAATATATTCAAATTCAAATACTATAAAGTTTTACGATTAAGAATATGAAATATAATGCTCTACAACAACGGTTAACTATGCAGAGCTGTCAAGCATTTGTTTCAGGTGGGTACTGTGATAGATCGCTACTACTAGGAATATCAGAATGAAATTAAGAATCATTTCAATCTAATGGGTATAGCATTAGATCAATAATATCAAGGTTTATATTTATGGGTAGGAAATTTAAAGCTCTAAACAAACTCAACCTTATGGGTGTAGCGGTAGGTCTATGCTATCTAACTTATATATATAACTGTTATAATATAATTAAAGCAATTATTATTTGTTATATTTCTTATTTAGAAAGAATTTAAATCCACTTTCAGAATGCAGGATTTATATGAATAAAACATTAATAATATGAATTTTATCAAGATGGAGAGTGAAGTTATTTCTATTAAATAATTAGAAAAACTGTTAGATGATATTGGAAAAATTTGGGAGATAAGTAGATTAAATAATTATAAAGAGCCAGATATTGTAAATAAATGTGCAAAGGTTTCTAATAGAAAGAAATTAATATATTCGAAGTTCAAAATATTTAAACAAAGCTATTTGTGTTTTGCTTATTCGGTGAAAGATAAATATTTTAAGTCTATACAGTTTTAAAATCTATTAAGAAATTCTTACTCATTAATCGTCTTTGTTAGCCTTTGTTATACTATTGATATTGTTCCTTCCCTCAGAAGAGAATGGAATATCAGAGACTACTAATTATATATTCCCTACGAATAATTAATTAACTCTATTCGAATCACATCACAATCACATTTATTAACATGCTTTGAACTCTTCTATATATACGAAGCTAGCTATAACCTTATTTTACAACTGAGAGATACAAATCTCTTGTTCTTGAATTGATATCAGAGCTTCACACTGAAATTATGCTCTCGTTGTTGAATTGATGTACTCGTACTACACGAGCCCCCTTCACTCCTGCACTGCAAGTTTTCTTAAAACCCTATTTCTGTGTTTTGTTACGATTTTGAAATATGAGTATATTAACCGCGCCGCGCCTATCATTTTATATTGATAAAGTAAATAAAAAGTTTTTTAGTGGTTTGAGTGATTTGAGCTGCAATGCAACTTTTTGACGACAACTAGAATTTGTTTATAGATTTTACAAAGCTGCGTCATTAAGATAATGAATAGAAAATGATGTGCAATTGTTTGTGGTTTATATTTAAATTTACAATCGTTAACAACGAATACAGATATGCAAATTGTAAATTTATATCGATAATTAAGTAATCGTATACATCTCAATATCTCAATATTCCAACAACTGTTTCTAAAGACACATTTTTAGTTCATATTTCAATTGAAAATATGTTTTCTTACTCTTCTATTTCATAACAATGAATAATGTTTAATTAATCTACATAAATGAGTTAATATTTGACGATATCATTTCTTTTTTTGGAAACTCTTAGAATCTCCTAATCGTTATTATGAATCAGACGTAAATATTCATTTTAAAACCCCAGTGCGTCATGAATTTAAGCAATCACTCTCTGAAGACGAATTAGCCATACGTCAAGCCGAGCACATGCAGAAACTTTATCAAGAAGAACGTCGCCGCAAGTACTTACAAGAATTGCAGGACATGAATTCTCGTCGCCATACTGATAATTTCACACCCACCCAAAAGTCTCCAATATCACTTAATCGTTACGATGATTTTCAATCTGATTTGGCGCCAAAACCTCCAAGCACAGCTTATATGAAAGCGGTAGCAAAAGCCTTATATAACTTCCAAGGACAAGGTGCCAGGTTTGTATATCAAAGTATCTTATTTTAGTAATAATTTTATATATATAATTTAATATATTGCAGAGAATTGACCTTCAAAAAAGGGGACATCATCTATATTAGACGAAAAATTGATGCCAATTGGTATGAAGGAGAACACAATGCTATGATAGGACTTTTGCCTGCCAATTATATTGAGGTATTCTAACAGTTTTAAATCAAGTGATTAGATTAGTGTATTGAAATTAAGGTGTATAAAAAATTCAGAGTTATTATTCTACATAATTTAAAGGGAATTACGATTTAAAAAATGTAAAATCATTACCTTAAATTGTCTCAAAAAAACCTTTAAATTTGTTATCTTATTTGAAAGCAATGGTCAGTAATTCATATGAAAAAATAGAAGTGCTTATAAGAAATAGAACCTAAGTCATTTCAAGTTCAAGTCCAAGACCAAGTTCCAATGTCATTAAAATAATTAAATATGATCGCTATAAATTGTTAACATCATCTTTTTTCGTTTATGCAGTGAGGTTCAAACTGTTATACTCTGATCATATGAGTTTAGTATGATATTTAGACCTTTTATTAGGATAAAATAAAGAATGTTAAAGGGGTTATTCGGTTAAATAGAAATTTTAACCATCTATCTGAAAGTATTTCTCTAACTAGAAAAATTTAGAAATATGTACTATGTCTAAATTGTTTCGTCTTTTCAATATGGTCTTGGGTGTTTCTTCATTTTATCACAAACATGTATCCAAAATTCATACATTTCTTTATAATATTTTTGAGTAGTAAAATAACGTATAATTATCATCTACGTAATAGAAAATATGCAAAGAATGAGAACATATGAAAGAGTCAGTATCTTCATAAACAAACATTTGTCCATTTTGTGATATATTAAATATTGCCAAAATTAAACACTATTAGACATTGTAAACTTGTTATTATTGTTTATTATTGTTTAATTTCTTGAAATAAACAAATATCTTATAAATTTTTTAGATAAATTTTATCTCGTTGTTGATAAATTTCTTAAATATTACAATACCCGAAACTGTTGACGTCTCACGTCACAAAAATAATTCTAATGATTAAATTTAATTAATAATTATATTAATTATATCTATATAGTACTCATCTATGTAGTGCTTAGAGTGAAGTTAGTAGGTAGTACTTATGTAGTACTAATAATTTTATTATATTTAATGATGATATATCACTGTAAGTTTTTTACTCTAGTAAAAAAAATTCCCAAATCATATTTACCATATATTATATATATCACAAAGTAAAAGATGTAATAATAGATATTAGATTTTTAAATATATTATTATTTTGTTTTTATTCTCTTTCATTGAAATTCAAATAAAAATTATTTACTACCTAATGTTCCTCCTTTCTTCTTCATGGTTTTATAAACATTTTAGTTGGTTAATATTACTTGATATACTAAAATTGAAATTAAAACATTACAACAATTCTATCAATCAAATCTGCAGTTTTAAAGAACCGCAGTTTTTAACATTGAAAATCTATCTTTAGTGCTGTAAGCTGGCACTATTCTCGTTAAACATTTTTCTTAATATTTTAAATTTTTTATTTTTTGCATCTCCGATTAAGTTTACTTTTTTAGGTATTATTAATGATTTTTTACTATACTTATATATATTTATAGAATATTATCCATTAATGTATAGCATTATGTATATTATATAAAATTTTAATATTTTAAAAAGTAATTCATTAAGTAAAAAAAAATATATTTACTTAGGATCAGTTTTTAATATTTGAATTATTTAGTTTAGTGAATTAGGATGAGATGTTTTTGAACCCTATGCTCCATTGGGAGATGAGGATGACAGAAGAAGAAGAAGTTTTATACCTTACTCTTTTTACAACTAAACAGCGTCTTCATGTTATAACAAAAAAATGCAATTAAAAAAATATATAGTTATTTGAATATATTTATAGTTACCAATTTTGCTCCTATTGTTCTTCAACAACTTCGATATTCTTCTCCTGTTCTTTCCCATACAGCATTAAATAATTTTTATCACAACTATGAACCCCACGCTTGAATTTAGTTTTCTCCAAATCCAGAACAAGCATAATATCCAACATCTTTCATTATTTAACACTGCAATTATTATGATTAAATTTTCTAATTTCTCTCATTTTATTACAGATAATAAACAAAGAAGATACACGTCGTCCACAAAGAAAGCCTTCAGAAGGTCAGGCTCGTGCCAAATTTAATTTCCAAGCCCAATCAAGCTTGGAATTATCATTAAATAAGGGTGAACTGGTAACATTGACACGTCGGGTGGATGATAACTGGTTTGAGGGAAAAATAGCTAACAGAAAAGGCATCTTTCCAGTATCATATGTAGAGGTTAGTAAAAAATATTATATGTATATAACATATAACAATAAAATTTCATTTTAGGTATTAACTGACATTGGTGCTGAAGATATTGCTGCAAAAACCGTTATCACAGAGCAAAGCGTTACGAATCTACGCCCTTCATTGGACACATTACGCACAAATATCAACCATGAGTTCAATGTTTTAACACAGAATGGCAACCAACCACCGAACGGCATATTGAAGGAAACCAAGAATCTACATAAAACAGATTTGCTACATGTGGACACAGTTACCGAACAATTAAAGTAAGTAATCACAATTCAAGACAATATATTATTTTATATTATCACTGGATATTAAATTCTATTTATTCCAAACTTAGATACCGTGCTCTCTACAAATACCGACCACAAAATTCCGATGAACTTGAGCTGTTAGAAGGCGATATCGTACATGTGCTGGAGAAATGCGATGATGGTTGGTTCGTTGGTACCTCACAGCGAACGGGTTGCTTCGGCACATTCCCCGGCAATTATGTTGAACGCCTCTAACCACAAATAAGAAATTTGTTGAAGGTTTTGTTGTTGCGTGAAGGATCTTATCTTCCACATATATAATGTTTATATTTAATGAGAGAAAACAAAATTAGTTTAAACACGAAATAATATTATTAATGCTTATATTTTTGTTGTTGTTAAAACTTTAATTAAATTTGTATATTATTTTTAAAAATTATTTATTTAAACACGTTAATGCTGATATAATGATATTTTAACCCAGATAAATACTGAGAACTGCTACCGAAGTAGAAACACGTACAAAGTAAATATTTATGGCTAAAAATCTCCAAGCGAATGTTAATACATAACTAGTCAAAGCTATTCCCAAATATAACGTACCATACGTGAATGCAAAAAAATAAATTATTATTTAAATATTTTGAATCAAATTTTGAAAGAGAGATTCACTAAATAAAAAGCATGAAAACATATTGAAAAACAAAAATCAAGAAATTGTTTACATACAACTGAACTTGTGAAAAATGATTGCCAATGCAGCTTATGCCTAAAAATGATGCCAATTATATAATCTTGATTATATAAATATATATATATTTAATTCATAATATATATAATAAATGTGTATGTTTGTGCGAAATACTTGATATTATTTTAAAATGCCTTTAACAGCAAACGAATATCTATTACAGTGCCTTTCAAACTTTACTTAAAATTGTTATTTTTCACTCAAATTACAAAATTTTATTGGCATTACTAACATTTCATGGAATAACATTAAAACTGTTTAAAAAATATATAAAATAAAAATTATTTATAAAAATTGTATGAAAAATAAAAAAATAATTGTAAAACTCACAGTTGTTGCAAATAAAATTTAGAAAATAAAAACAACAAAACACAAAGTATGATTTTTTATTAAAATTATTTAATTTGCTTCAAAATTATTTATCACTTTTGCTTCAATATTTTTTCAAATTAAAATTAATTTTGACTAGAATAATTATTAATTTTTTAAAAAAAAATTATATTTATGCAATAATAAAAGATTGCTATCGCAATCTTATAACATATGATATACCAGATATGTTAAATTAGAGTATTTGTTAATATTCAAGCAATGATTTTTTAAAAATTTAATTTCAATTTTAAAAATTTTTTTGTTTTAAAATAATAGGAAATTTATTATTAATAGAAAGTAACACATAGATAAAAAATTTAACACTTACACTTGAAGACAACTATTGCTCTCAAAGTTGCCAGGAGGAGACTAACTAACCATTGTTTCCAATATGTCTCCACGTTATATTCTTATTGAATTATTTGGTCTTTTAGATGAAGCTAAGGAGTTTCGATAGATACACTTTTGTGATCTGAGATCTTTTAGATATCCGCTTTGTCTGTAGTTTCGAGTCGATTACTACTTTCTGTTTTTGTTCAGTCATTTTCCATTCTGGAAATATTTGGAGATATATATTTTACTTAAATTAAGTTACTATTTTTTTTGTTAATATGTTTTACTCTAATTGCTTTTAAAAAAATATTTATTTATATATAAGCTATTATTACGAACAAAAAAAAATTCTTCTGAAACCTTTCTAATTATTTATTAATAGGAGAGTTTACTTCAGAAAATTTTTTAGCTATACAAGCTTGCGAATAGAATATTAGTTTAAATTTTAAGTTAAATTGAAACATTCTCTAAAACTATAATCACTGCTTGACTCAAAATTTCTTACTAAATTAAAACAAAGCAAGCAAAAACAAAATAAAGTTATCTTGTCTTTGATTCCTTCTACCTATTTATAAACACATTTTTAAAGTTATGAAGATCTTTGAACCACATGAGGACCAGCATTATTATTAGTTTCGGAATCACATTTTCCAATAGATTCTACTCTAGACTCAGTAGACAACTAAGAAGTCGACCCATTTATTGATGAACAAAAGAAACCTCGCATAAATTGTTCATTTGATTTGTTCTATTGTATAGCGGAGAAATATGAACGATACAGGTCCATGATAAATGATACAAGGTTTTTACCTTGTAAGCATAGCTCACATTGATTATGACGCACTCTTCTTTCCTAAGAGAAAATTTAACCGTGGTTAAGACTTAACACTACTCCCCGAAGTGTTGGAAATCAACACACTATCCTCTACAAAATGTCTATTCAAAGCCCAGGCACCATATTCACTTAGATCTCTTAGGTCACTTAGGTAGCATATAACATTTAATCATTAAAATTTTGTTCTTTTTCACTATCTTAAAGAATCCTGATCACTCTCAACAAAACCCTGATATTCTTCAAATGAACATTCAACCCTCTCACATATTTTAACACATGAGGCATTATTAATACCTAGCTTTATATCGTAATGAGACAGGCTTCCATTAGTTTCGAAATATATACTCTTTTATATTGCACTATAGAATCGATATTTGAACGACTCAGTTCACTTTTTATACCTTATATATTGTATTACAATTTATACCTAACCAATCCTCATGACCAATCATAACCTACCTCTCGGTTTACTTGTTGTCCATGCTCCCTAAAGTATATTTATTTAGCTTAACAAATATTTACATATTAAATAATTTTGAATATGTGCCATTTAATGTATTATTATTAAAAATCTGCCATTAATTACTGGAATTAGGATTTCAACTACTTTAGCATTCCTTGCTTTTTGTGGTCACTTCTTAATAAGGAATTAAAAGATTTAAGTTTCGCACAGAGGTTTTTAATGCACCTCTGCGATATTTTTAATGTTTTTCTTACACACAAAAGAAACCAATATGATACTGTAAGGGCTGACTTAGTTTTAAGAAATTACCTATCCTATCCTACTTCATAGAAAGCAATCCATTCGAATATTCATGCTGGGGTAAAAATTCGTTATTATTTAAAATAAAAATATTTATATTTTAAATATATTTATATAATATATTATTAGGTTAAATAATTAATTTTTTCCTTTATATATAACTATATATTGAATTATATATTTATATAAATAGACAAATCCGACGAGCTGAATTTTGGTTTTCGACGTAAGAGTAGATGAAATTTGGTTTCAATATTACAATATGATTATTAAAGAAGAAATTACGAAATATATGGAACTCAAACAAATATATTACATTCTAATGTATATAAAATAATAATATATTCGATTAAACTAATTTCTTTTCAATTTTCTATGCTCAACGATTTCTTTATGATTTACTGAATTCGTATCGCACGAAATGAAGAGTTTCATTACCAACGATCATACAGCGATTTTCGTCACAGCGATTTCAGTGATTCGTGCGTTAAGATTTATATAATTTAAGATACTTAATTTTGGTTGTTTAGTTGGTTGATTGAAAGATCATAAGTAAAAGGACTTAATTATAATATTATCCATTTTCAAGATATATTTATATAGTTTATTAGTTGGATTGCTTGTGAATTTCATAGAATATCGCAAAGTAAAAATTTATTATGTTGTATTACTGTATTCCTGTGTTGATTTCAATTCCACTTCGTTTCTTCGGCGTCGCACTTGAACAAATTGTCATTTGCGTTTCGTCGGCGGCGTGAACTGCATTTGTTAGGAAAAATGCAAAGTTTTGTGCGTACAAGTGCTTTTTATAAATAAAAAATAAAATAAATAAAGTGCATTTAGCATTTCTAATGCATTAAGAAATATATTTGTGAAAAATGTTTGGAAAATAGTGTTATATTAATAACATCCGGTCTCCGTATGAAAAAATTCAACGCAAATATTTTACACAAAAAGAGAAAAGCAAAATAGTGGAAAAAAAAATTAAAACCCAAATTAAATGATTGTCGTGAATTAAGTAGTATATCCCGGTAGTTTTGGGACAAAAAAATGGGTAAGTCGAGATTAACAAGAATCCAAAATCTTTATTTGTTTTGTTTGCAATAAAATTGTTTTTCAAATATTTTCATTGTTGCGTTTTGTATATTTTGGTTTGTATGTATGCTTGTGTGCTGGCTCAATCGATACTTGTTTCTTCAAGGACAACCCTCGTCCAAGGAATTTTACATATTGTTAATGCAATTTTGCCAATTTTGCTAACCAATATTGATTCATCAAAAAATTTTCTAAGAATTCCAAAAATTTACACCCGAATTAAAATTGTTTTGTTCAGCATGGTTTTTTTTGTTATCTTTTGTTTTTTATTTAACTGGAAACTGGAACACATATGCATATGAACACATTTACACACATGTTTAAATAATTATTAACTTCCTGTCATTCAAAAAATAAAAATATAAACAAAAACAATTCTGCTTGATAGCATTTTTGCTTGCTGCTACTGCTGCTGCCTTCTTTGTTGTTGCTGTGCTGTTGATTTTTGCTGACCACCCAAAATCTTTGCAGTCAGAAATGAAATGAAATGCACAAAACAACACTCGAAAACAGAGCAAAACAAAGACAAAGAATCGAACGCAAATGTGTTTATTTTTATATTTAAGCTTATCTCCGCTGCGTCTGTGCGTGGGATTTTTCTTATTGGACATAAATTTTTGTTAATGGAGAGTAGAGCTTTGTAGGCAAAAGCAAATAAATTTGTTTTTGTTGTGAAACAAAATAAACCGCAAATGCATGCTGTGCCTTTGCCGTCACCGTTGCCGTTGCCCGTGCCGTGTATAAAAATGAATTCCTTCAAAATGTGCATGTGCCGGTCGTTATTATTCATCGCCACTTGAATTTTATTAATAGTTTTTGATGAATTTGAGCGTTTGGAGCGTTCCGTGTAGCTGATACCGTCGTATTATCATTTATTTTTAAATGTTACATGACAGACTACGCTCGATTTTAAACAGAACCACTTAAAAAATCAAATTTAATACGAAAATATAATACAAAAATGAAAGCACAAATCAAAACACATAGGGAAGGGAAGGAATGCTCCACTTGGTACATTGAGCAATTTAAGTTGAATTAAGTTAAATGATTTTTATTATAATATAAAATATACATATTAAAATAATATTGTTTAAATAAAATATCCTTGGTATTATATAATTAGGCCGTGTGCGAGTTCGAGTAAATCGAGGTAAAGTAAATTGAAATTTTTCCTAGGGATTTTTTACACTGCACTTATATAAATATTTATTGCACCTATTTATTATTTTTGGTTAAAAGTTTTCAAATTTATTTATAAAACATCTTACCAAATTTTTATCTAATTTACCCTACTCAAAATTCTGGTAAATACCAACATTTGTTGTCATACCGACATAATGTACTGTTTCCCTCAATTTACTCGAACTCGCACACGGCCTTAAGTAATTAAGCAAGTGATTAAAAATTGCTTCGAGTTCAGATGAAATATATCAAATTTCTCAAAAGCTAAATGGAAATAAAAAATAAATTTACCTTTTTTCTGTGGTGAGGAAGTAGAATGCTTTATGCACCGTCAAACCGACCGTCATCGAAATGGTTTAACCGACTGCCTAACATCTCTTTAGAGAAACTTATTCGCCTCGAGGAACCGCTTTCGCATTACTTCTCGCAGAGTCTATTTTATATTGGCATTTAAACCATAACATATCCCTTCTTCGGAGTGACTTATTATCCCCGAGTAATCGCTTTCGCATTACTTCGGAAAGGCTTCTTCGGAGAGACTTATCCCCGAGGAACCGCTTTCTCATTACTTCTAGCATAGTCGGTTTTATGTTGACATATTAGCCATGCCATCGATCTACATCTAAATCCACTGATGACTGGCATATTCATTAGCTTATGTTCTGCTTTTCCTTTTAAGGTCTAATTCTTTCGCTTTGAGAACTTCGCTTTCGTCGTTCTCATCTTTTCAACTATATTGAACCAATAAAACCGAAGTTATTGGTCCGATACGGACTTTTATTGCTTCTGTAAATGTGGGCTAACTATTATAATAAAAGAAATTGTGTAACCAAATAAAACTGCCATTTCCATGCGGTAGAGGAAGAGTATCCATGTCTGGTCAGCAACTCAATATGATATTAATTTGTGTTTATAATTATTTCGTAGGTCTTTAACTATGATCATAAATTCTCTATCCGTAAGAATTTCAATGTCGTCCGCTTTTACAAATTCGTCACTCCCAAAACTGTGACTTGGAAACAAGGTATATATAAATTCATTCACTTTCCCTTTTATTTTGTATCCTAGACCCCATGGTTGGGATACAACCTAGGGGGTCTGAAATCAACAATTTTGATTGACATTTACAAGTTCTTCCCACTTTTTTGCTTGTGCCAATCGCATGTTTTCAGTTCTTTTTGGCTTGGATGTAGTCTCGACCTTCTGCTTCATAGATTCCATTACGTCTAGCTCTCGTGCAGCATCTTTAAATATTCTCTCCTATTGTTCTCCTATGTTTAATACTGAATTAAATCTTTCTTAAGTCATTAACTTTGTAAACTTAATTCATACTGGATGTGTTACCGGTACCGCCAGTGACACATCCAGGGAGGCACGACTGTAAAATGGTCTTTTTAAAAAATAAGAATCTCCTCTTCAACTCCACAGTTCAAAATAGTACTCGTTAAAGTACATTCTGAATAGCATTCGTGGAAGTCTCCAAAATGCATTTATTATCTAATTTCAAGTTTATATGGTTGTGCGGTATAGCAAAGCTCTAATAAGCCTAAGGGTGTTACAACGATATGGCGACAACCACTTCAGCTAACCTAAAAAATAAAATCAAATTATAAACAATAAATTAACTTCTCAATTAACTTAATAAATTTGATAAAGAGTTATTCATTTGTTGGTCATGATTTGACAGCACTGTTTTAGTGACATATGTTAAACTAGATTTGTCATCCCATTGACAGTAAATATAAATATATATTCAACTTTATTTCAATCATCGAAATTATTTTAATGGGCACAATTTTTAGTATGACTGTCAGTCTATTTTTGAAGCAATTAAGGTAACAATCAAGACTTAGGCAATTGAAAACATCTAACGAAGTCTTATCTAGTATTTGTTCAATTTCTTTCCGTAGTATGGACGACCGAAACTGATGAGTTTCAAAATAATATTGTTGTAATTTCTAGAAAGCTTAGCAAGCGGTCTTATAGTTATATAGTTATTGGACTCAATTTTCTTTTATGAAACGGTGGAATGGCGATATCTCAGTAGAGAAATAATTTCTGGACGTTGGCTCGTTAATTGGAATAGTATAGGAATAAAATTCATACACAACTATTGTAATATTTTTATGGAACATAATGCTGAAACACCGTTTACGGTGAATACGGTTTGTTAGCAGTTTCTGTAGATCTATTTTGTGTTCATTTTCTATATGCACCCCTACAGATTTTTTAATACAGGTTTTGACAAAGTTTGTAGGGAAACCAATTACATTAATTGTGAGCATTTTAAAATTACTGAGATACTTTATTTTTAGTCGAAGTAATTATACAATTAATTTATCGCTAAAGAAAGGGTTGAAATTTACATTATTATTCTTAGATAGTGGACTGTATTTGAACTGTATACTTAGGCGCATGTGTTTCAGAGATAAAAAAGGTTACAATCATTGTTATTGATATACATGCGCGTTATCATATAACATTTATGCACAGATTATTAAATCATTAAATTATTGTACAATAATAAAATTTTATCTTTCGACGCATTCAAGGAAATCCTGGAATTTTCCTTGAATACTAATAATGTTCTTTACAAACAATATTTAACAGATGACAAATGATGACGAGATGTATGCCGACAAGGAACATACATAGAGGGTTTACATACATTTATAGTAACAACAGGTTTACAGATGAGGAATAATTCTATTTATTTTATCTGAAATTTTATTTTTTGTTTCTTTTTTATTTGAGCTTTTTTCATAGAAGCCTATCTCCAACTATTGAATTAGGAGCCTCATGACCTCCTTTAAGAATTGTTCCTTTTAACCCATTTTGTATACATCTAAGATTAAATTAGATTACAAACCTAATCTAACAGATAACATTTGACTTACATGCGATTAGGAAACTTATCTTCTAAAATAATAAACTATAGCATTATAATAAACTGAGCATTAATTCTCTATGTACATAGTCATTTTAAATCACCAATTCTATGACATGAATTTTAAATTTGCCATCTTCAATTTTTATGTAAAGGTTAACATCTTTAATTTGTGATCACGATTGCACCTATTGGATTTTCCTTTTAGTCAAGTCTTTTATTTCTGATCATTACATTAATACAATGTTTTCGATCTTAAGAGTAACGACCGGGCTTACGTCCCTGAGCCACTTGCTCATCGCAACTACCAAGCACAGGTCGATACACCCGACAAGGATTATACCAGCAGATCTTAACGGATTGTTACCACAACAACACCATGAATATCACTATCTGAAAACACTGTTGAATCTAATATTTAAGAAATTGCCTATAAATTGTGATAATCGCCTGGTTGGTTGGTTTGTTGCTGTGGCAGGCCATTAGATAACTTCCATGTACCTTAATTAGCAATTTTTCGCCGTTTTGCCAGACATTTACAAAGAAAATGTATTATGGTTTCTTTCTCCTGCGAATTTCCACAACCTCTGCAGTGAGGGTTATGGGGAATGCGCAGTTTCTCTGCGTGAGTTCCTACACACTAATGACCAGTAAGAACTCCAGTAAGCTTTGCAGTGTTCACGCGGTCTCTTTTGATGAGTTCAGACGATTTATTTTTGTTATAGGTGGGCCATGTTAACCTGGAAGTCGCACATGACTTAAGTGATTTCCATCTGTTATTCGCAAGTTGCAGAAAGTAGAGGAAACTACTTCTCTTAATGGTCTCTAGGGTAATATAAACTGGTGCCGCCAGTGACATATCCTGGGAGGCACCAGAGCGGGCTAAGCTGTCAGCTTTGTCGTTCTCTATGACCAGGAACCCAGATGAGGGTGTATTAGCCAACCGACTTAGCTTGTCGATTGTTTCTCTACATTCCTTTACTATCTTTGATTTTGTTATGAAAAATTTAAAGGCTTTAATTGCTGCCTGGCTGTCAATGAAAATGGCAACACTACATCTGTCCTCGATGTGACTTACAATTTGCTAACACATGCCGTCCTTTTAATTCTGTTAAATTTATCGATATTATACCTCTTACTCAGAGCCGGCCACCAAACGACAGCGCCATACGTGAAAATTGGACATACAATGGTCGTGTACATCCAGTGGGTAATATCGGGACGAATCCCCCATTTTTTGTCAAACATTCTTTTGCAAGAATAGAAAGCTACACATGCCTTCTTGATTCGAAGATCCACATTATATGGGATAATCTCCTAATTTTGCTTTCAAAAAACTTGTTGGAAAAAGTTGACACGTTGACCCGATCGTTTTTGGAAACTTTAAAATCTCATGCATAGTGAGATGTGATATTCAATATGATTCTAGAAAAAGGATTGTTTTCTTTAAATTATTCAAAAATAATTACGTAAAAGACTTTAAAAAATTTTAATAAATTTCTTTCTCTTGCATTTTAGAATATCCACAAATAGACTTATATAAATTCCTAACCGAGTCCGAACTGCAACATTATTACAATGCCATCAAGTAAGTTCTCAATATTCTCCACAACAAATTGAAATTAATTTTATATATTTTTTAGAAATGAACTGAAAATTACTAACGCTACACAGTTTAAGTATGCTACTGATGAGGACTTAAAAAATATTGGACTTTCTCGACCTGAAATACGCAGACTAAGAAAATTTTATGAAAAATATTTTCCTCATGGTTACTTAAGTAAAATAAAACGCTTACTGCAAGCACCGACTTCAATTGTAAAGAGAGATGATGGAAACTCAAATTCCACACAGTTGGCGAATCAATCGCCCGAGGTTCAGTCTACAAATAAAACTGTCCAGTCACCTAGCAAAGCACCAAATAACAAACATATTATACCAGCTGATTCCATAAGTGTGAATAAACAACTCGGAACCGGCGAGTTTGGCATTGTGCAACAAGGTGTCTGGACTAATGGTACAGAGAGAGTAAGTCATCTTACAGTTTAAATTCATATACAGAGTATATTTTTGTTAATTACAATATTTTCATTTCTTTAGATACAAGTTGCCATAAAATGCCTCTGCCGACAACGTATGCAGTCCAATCCGATGGAATTTTTAAAGGAAGCTGCAATAATGCACTCTATCGAGCACGAAAATATTGTACGTTTATATGGAGTTGTACTGGATACAGATTCGCTTATGTTGGTTACAGAACTCGCACATCTACGCTCATTACTGGAATGTCTCAAAGATTCGGGCTTACGTGTTAGTTTTTTAACAATTCCTACACTATGTGAATTTGCTATGCAAATATGTAATGGTATGAGATATTTAGAAAACAAGCGTCTAATACACAGGTTAGCCAATAGGAATTCCCTCGTTAATACCCAATTATTGACTATTACCGTTTGTTATTTACAGAGACTTGGCTGCGCGCAATATTTTAGTTTTTAGTAAGAACAAGGTAAAAATATCTGATTTTGGTTTGTCTCGCGCACTTGGTGTTGGGAAGGATTACTACAAAACAAATTTCAATGTAAATTTAAAGCTGCCAATAGCTTGGTAAGTGTCCTTCATTTAAAGTTTTAACGGATGTAAATTTATTAAATTGTATTCCTAGGTGTGCACCAGAGAGCATAAATTATTTACGTTTTACCAACGCATCTGATGTTTGGGCATATGGTGTTTGTCTTTGGGAAATGTTTTCTTATGGATTTCAGCCATGGCCTGCCTTAACGGGCATGCAAATTTTGGAAGCAATCGATGGACCCAATTATCAGGTTAGGCTTAATATTTATTTTATATAACAGCTATAACATTTATTTGTTGAATTTTATTTCAGCGACTTGAACAACCCGATTGTTGTCCACAAGAGTATTATACGCTCATGATGAAATGTTGGCAAGATGATGCAATGAAACGGCCAAAATTTAGCGAAATCTATGAAATATTACCCGATATGAAACCCGAACAATTAAAAGCAGTTGTGAATAATTGTGAATCTAAAAAGGATCATTTGGAATACCGTCAAGGCGATATAATTACTGTATTGGATCGAAACACTGGTACACCCTTTTGGAAAGGTGTTTTGATTAGTGGTAAAACAGGATTTTTCAACCCATCAAATACTGTAGCGTATCTTGAAGGCTTACCAACAATGAACAGGTAATATTACCAAATGAAACTACATCTAATAACAAGAGTTCCAAAGATAAAAAACAATTCTCTGAATTGTTATTACCATTTCGTATCTTAGGTATTACTAACATGAGTGCTTCCATTTTTATCGTTTTTCTAATACAATAAAAAACAGAAACGAAATACATTTTCTTAATAGAAAAACAAACATTCTTATTCAAGTTTGTCTTATGTTAAGGTTTTTCGGAGTTAGTGCAACTGGGGGTTATTACTCTTTCTTAGCAGGAGGCTTTCTATACAGAGCTCCTTCCTTCTCTTTGAATAATTTATGTATTCTTCACAAGCTTCGCTGATTATTCGATGACTGATCTAAGATCTGCATACCGCCCCGTGCGGCTAGTGACTACTCTGAGATTAGATAGTGTTATGTGTGGCAGCCTATCAGTTTTCGCGTATAGCTTCAGGGCTCTGTCCCTTTTGTATTTTTTGACCGGATTTCTTAGCATTTCACTCGTGCGGATGTACCATGGCACTTTGCAGAGTTTTTGAAGAGTCTGACTTTGAGCAACTTCTAGCTTAGAAGTTAGACATTTCCCCTTAGAGAAATGTCGGAAGGTAACGTATGATATTAGAGTAACCTGAAAGAACCTGCTAGTTTTGTTCATCACTTTAACATCTTGCAAGATGACTGACGTGTTCTGTGTTTTTGTTCTTGTGTACTCCCGCGGGTAAGAAGCTAGATTATTCTCGAGAAAAGGAATGCGTATCGTATGAGGCGACTAAAATTCAGCAGGCAGAACCCAATATTGTATGGAGAGTATATAGTAGTAAGTTTGTTTCACTTATGGTGTCCGACTGGAGATGTACATGTGATTCCATGAGGGTCGCAACCCACAACTCCGGCTGTATTGGTCAATTGAGTTTGACCCTTGCGGTTAAAACCCAAAGCTACGCGGATAGAGTGACTGTAATTATTACTTTCATTCGATGTGAAGTCGCAAAAAATATTGAAGTTGTTTGATGGGATTTGGTGAAGGGAACTATATCCAAATGTTTAGCTTAGATTTGGTATCGGTAGAATTCTTTGGAATTCCAATGGAAGGTTTTATTGTTGCATTATACTGACACTGATACGTGTGTTAAGAGGTAATCACGTTAAAAATCGATTTACTCTGTGTTGTTATATGAAGATTGCATCTTTTATGACTTTTTTCCTATTTGTATGGATCTCACTGATTTCATTGCATTTCTGTAGTTTTTTAACTACTCATTTTCATGTTCGGTATTAAAGCGCATCCACACCAAAACGAACGCTTGGTGTGCATCCACAGGTAATGGTAGCTGCAAAAGTTCGTTCGTTCGCTTCGATGTGGATGTACCTTTATATATAATTTTTTTTTTGATTTATTATAAAACTAAATAGATTTCTCATATTTAGTTCTTTTTAAAATACGGCATGTATTAAACGTATTTATCGTAATTTACTTAATTACAGAGATTCGTTTTGTCGTGTAAGTGAACGTAGTAGCAAACGAAAATTAAGAACTGAAATGATATCCAAACCACAGAACGACTTGAAACACACCGGCCATGTTGGAATTGATGGAGCATCTTTCGGTGATGTCGCATTCTTGGGCAATTCACAAAATGTAAATATAAAACCAAATAATTTTGTAAATAATTTTTAATTTCATTCATAATAATTCCTTGTATTTATAGTATAATCACGTACCACGTCAAATTGTTACGCCATATAAACCTTCTGAAGATATTGAACAAACACCATTATTATTGCCACCAACACCTACAAGTCCTGACTCTCTACAAACTGCTAGTGGTTATTTTCCAGAAGGTGCAAATGTTACCTCTTCAAATCCTACATTTATATCTTCTGCTGAAAATACACCAAAAAATTTCTCAAATACTTCTCAATCCTCATTTGAATTTCCCGGTCAACAATTAGTATTGGGTCCTACAGTCAATGTCTCCACAAATCCATTTGCAAGTAAGAATGATGATGAAGTAAATATGTCGGCAGCATATGCCATGCAAAACAATCAATACAGTAATGACAGCAAAATGTTTGCAAACGAAATTGAAGTTCTGACATCAAGTCAGGCTGGAATATCTGGTAGACCATCGTCCAGAAGTAATTCTGAAGATCCACATGTATATCATGAGATATCAGATGATGAAATGGTAGCGGACAAATTAGATTTTGGTCCTTCATTATTGGCTGAAATAAATTCAATGTTTGGCTCAATGAGCGCAACATCAAGTCAACCAAAATCTCCAGATTTTGAGCATGTTAACATAAAAAACGAATTTACAGAAATCTCTACTAAATTAGTACGTAAAAATAGTGCTGGGGATGCTAATGGCAACAAATTTGGTATTGGTTCTATGAAGAAAAAAACAGCTGGAACTGTTAAGCAAATATCAGTGAAAGATGAAAAAATACTTAATCAAGCAATCGAAATAGCAAATGAAATGAGTGCGAGGTATTTATTTAAAATATTTTTAATTTTAATTTTCCAAATATTAATTTTACCTATTTTCTATGCAGGTCCATGATTGATTTGGGTGCTGATCCAGCAATATCAGCACAAAGTCCGAAAAGAAAGTTCAGTTTTCGCTTTCCTCATTTGTCGAACAATGGCTCCAATGATAAATCAAATAGTAATGGATCGCCAAATCATGCTGGTGGCGGTGTTAACAATGGCTTACACACTGGCATTTCTTCTCCATATTCGAAAAAGAAGAACTTCACTGAAGAACTGAAGAGTATACCAGACTTACAGGTAAATAATTGAGCGATTATTTTAAGTAATTTTCAGATTCATTATTTAATGTATCGTTAGAATTAAAGTGAAGAGGGAAATTTTATATCAAAATCTCATCAATCATAACTTTATGAAAGAAGATTATTTGACTGAATATCATCTTAAGCATTTGTAAAATCAAAATATTTATTTTAATTAAACATTATGTCATTGCATAAACATTTAAAATAACATTAATAATATATAAAATGTTTGAATTAATTACAATTCATTAACCATGCTTGCCTAATTGTATTTAATTATACCAATTATCGTAACCAAGTTATAAGTTATGTTAAATACATTAAACCTTGTTTGCCTTTTTTTAATTTTTAACGTAAATATTTAAATCAACTTTTCATATCCATCGTAGTTATATATATATTTTATATAGAAATAGATTTCGAATCAAGTTTAATCACTTTCTAGTTTTGTGTATCCAATTAATTTATATAATACTCATTTATTTACTGTATATTACTTATATTACATATATGATGATTAAATAGTTATTCGATTAATTTAAATATGTATTTAAATATAAAATGTAAGAAATATTGCATTATATTTAGTTACGTCAAATAAATATATATAACTAACTAATTTATGTTATATACATTTTTTGTTTATATTACTTGGATCTTATTACAACGTAAACCTTCGTACGCACGGCAAAAAACGTTTAATGCCGCACCTGTGCGCTTGAATGGTTGTCTTAGTTGCTTACACTTTCTATCGCTCAAGCGGCAGAGGTGCGGCAGAGAATGTTTATTGCAGCTGGTTTCAGCCGTGCGTATTAGTAATATTTTTTATTTATATATATATATATTTTTTTTTATTTGAATAAATTTTTAATTGTTTTTGTGCGTTTTTTGAGTATTTCAATTATATATTAATATACAGTAATGTCCTGCTATTGTAATATGAAGATGTAATACATTTGCATTTAAAAAATTTAGAATGATCGATTTTTTTTTTATATACCAATTATGCATGGTGCTCTTGATATGTAAATATGAGTTACTACATATAGTCCTTATTGAAGGTATTAATTACTCCATTGCCTGTTTATGAGCGGAATATTTTATACTCGGATCATGCTCTTCATTATGAAATGTATTAAAACGATAAATTAGACTTGTTTATAAGTAAATATTAGGTCAAAATAATAAAATATAAATAGTAGATTTGAAAATTTAAATAAATTTTATTGACGAAAAAGTAATTTAGGTTTATAAATACCAAACTCCATTTTATGTTAAAAACAAATATGAAGCTATTACATATGATATTTGTAAATACCGAAATTACTTTTGCGCCAATTTATTTAACATTCATTTAATCACCAAAAAACATTAAAACAAAAAATCATTAACATAAACTTATTTTAATAATTAAATATAAATAATTTATATTTTATTGTATTTCTTTTTATATGAAAAAAATCATTCTACAAAGAATTCTAATAATTAATTTATATATTTTTCTCTCTTCCTATATCCTTTATACAAATATGAAAATGTTTCTTATAATTATCATTATGTTTGCTTTATTTCGATTCTTTTTTAAATTTTACCATCTATGTATTTTCTTTACTAATTAAATATTTTCTATACATATAATTTTGCACTAAAACATAAAAGCGCTTCCGATCTTTAAATGAGATTAAAAACTATAATAATGCTGACATACGTATACCACTTTTTGATAAAAAGAGTTCAGATTTTTGTTTTGAAAAATCTCGTGAAATTCTCACTCGTCCATTAAGTTTTGATCCACCACCAGGTTTGAGTAACACGACAAATGAAAAGAAACGTGACCGAAAGAGTATCTCTGAAAATATAATGGATATAGAAAATACATTGAAGGCTTTAAATCAGGATTTTATGTATACCTACACTGAACTTAATAAAACCGATTCCGATGAAACTATATTGAATGAGCAGTTTTCCAGTATAGTTTCATCAATTGATGAAGAAATCAGCAGTGCTACTGGTAGCCTCAGATCTGCTGTTTACAATTACAGTAATGGTGTACAGACAATGTTTGATTTCAATGCTGCTACCAATCATATCGACAAGCACCTACAATACATGAACGCTCAGAGTCAAAATCAATCAGTTTGTGATACAACTTTAGATCAGAAATTGATTGAAGACAAACGTTCTAGTACACCAGATACAGGATTTGCTTCGCGCGATACTAATATTTCGTTATCTCGACGTAGTAGTCAAAAATCGAGTTATAGTCCGCAAGAAAACTTTTTTAATCCAAAGGACTTGCATATTGCGTCGAGTGGTTACACAGGACTAAGAGAGGAAAATACATTATCTAGCGAAAGATTTTGTACAAAATATAATGCCTTGTCTGCTTCACCTAATAAGACTGCTGAACATGTCAGCAATAACTCAGTTTACTCGCCCAGAGAATTGAAAATTGACACCGAACAATTTAAAAATAAGAGCTACCGACAACGCTCTATGTCTTTTACTGATCATTTTAATCCCATATCTCCTGTGATGTCTGAGCCGCAACAACGTGTTAAACGACAATCGACAAATATTAAAAACTCGCAATCTAATTCAAATGGGCAGCCAACTAGACGATCAGCTTCCTACAAACCGCGATCCATACGTGCACGCACTCTACGTCGACTTAGTTATAATCCAATTATTTTAGATTCCAGCAGTTCCAGCGATGGGGAAAGCGATTGTAATCGCAGCGTTGCACGCTCTGAATGTGACATACGTACTCGTGTTTCCGTATTATATCGTCGACGTCGTCAGGGTATTGGCCATAAAACACTCTCGTCGTGTAATGACGATCACGAAGCTATTGTTGCTTCTAACAAATTATATGGCTCTAATGCTAGCATAAAATCCGCTCCTCATTACAACTATGGCGGTCGCATGGGATCATATCGAAACTATCCCCGAAATATGTTTGACCAATTAGCTTACGAAGATAAGATATACGATTTTGGTGGTCGAGGACCAGGTAATAACTACGGTGTCACTGCTACAACAAATCAAAACATAATTAAACCACCTAAAACTTTTACTGTTAATGGAAGTTGCGCTGGTTCGGGCTCAGGTTCATCTTCGGCAACATCAACAGCTGCACCGTTTAGTGCTAGCACACGTAGTGCTATATTCCATGAATTTGATGTTAGCAGATTAACTGGAAAGAGTCCCACATCTAATTTCGTCAACTCCTCTCCAGAAGAAAGAAATTCCAGACAGTCTAAAGGACCAAATGCAACTCCTCCAACTACGCTCCCACTGCCATTGTTAAATCATACAACAAATGCAAATACTGCCAATACTTCAAAATTGCAAACAGAATTCCATTGGCCAGAAAAAATTCATGGTTCCACCGTTAAGCAAAACGATATGTTCTGGCGGCAACAGCAAAGAGATGTTGACGCTCAAAGCGCATTTCTACGTAATTTACAAACCGTCGATCATATACACACTAGTGACAGTTCTTCCACTGAAAGTGGTGATGAGTTCGTCTACCGCAGCGAATTCATACCACACGTTCCACCGAGTCCCGCCCCATAACTAAGAAAAATGCTGAAATATTTACTCAATTTGCTTTTCGGAAATGTTATGTCGAGCGATTAGAAAGCTTCAGAGATAAAGTCAGAGAATTATGCAGTTCTTACAAAGGATACGAAAGATATGAATGATATGAAATGAATACGACGGTGGAATATGCGAGTGAATTGACTTACTTAATTGTGTTTTGTTTGGAATGTAGACGAACCTTTAGTAAATAACATACCGTACAGGAAAGGCTGACCTCAATAGAAAATGTGTCGAAAAGTAAATTGAACAAATATTTACAGCATTAGAAACTATAAAAAATAGAAAACAATAAAATCAAGAAACAACAACAATACATTTGTTGGGAGTGCCTTACAAAAATTCCCCACTCATCAAGTTGTGCAATGTAGTAAAATTTTCGCTCTTCTCCTCAACTCCTCAAGTCCTCAAATTTAGCTATTTTACAATGCGTTAACGTAGAATTGATAGATAATGGTTATTGATAAATTGATAAATTGATAAATTGTCATGTTACTCATTGGTTTCTGAGCTACTTCAGATTGATATGAATCTGAATTGAATATTATAGAAAAAAGTTTATAATCGATTTAAAGATTGATTCGCGTTATATAATTGTTAAACTTTACTATTTAAATATAAACAATTAAGTAAAATTTAAAGTTTTTAATTCAAAAGTGTCAAAATTGTTTTTTAAAGCTAAAAGGAAACAAATTACAAATTACAAATTACAAATTATACTAAATATACATAAATACATATGAGATACTTAAAATTTAAATAAATACATAGTTAAATTTGTTAAATTAAAATTCGAAATTATCATACAAAAATTACATTAAATTAAAATTAAATTAACGAGTACAAGTTGTAATTTATAAATCGTTACTGATCACAACAAACACATTGTCTAATGAGGTATATTCAAAACCATACATGTATATATCATAAACGCTCTCTGGGTTACTACTTCTATTTAAAAGAATTTAAAAGAAAATGTTTGGAGACAGAATTTATTGTAAATTTTATAAACTTTCCTCGTCTTTCCTCGTCCTCGTCTTTATTGACAAAAAATTATGACAGTCGATTTTCACAAGCCTCTATTGAAACGCATTTTTCACCAGAAAAACCGTTCGTCATCGACAGGACCTGATGCCAGGTCTAGAATATATGGTGGATGATTAAAAACTTCGCAACCAAGCTTCCGTGTCTTTTGGCGACTCATTATGTTGTTACTCTGGCATTGTCCTAATAGAACACAGTTTCTCTCCTATTGCCCAAAACTTGCCATTTCTGAGCGATTGTTTTCTTTAGACGGAAGAATGTCCAATTGTTGACACTACAGTTCCGAGTTAATAGTTTTACCATAGTGGAGCAGCTCAAAGTAGATGATTTCCTGCCACTCCTAACTGACACACTCCAAAACATTCCTGATCATCAATTCTAGCTTGGCGACCGTTTCAGCCGGCTCGCCACGATTTGACCATGACCGTTTTCTCTTGATGTTGTCGTAAATGATCCTGATGCACTTTTTATCACCAATTACCAACCGCTTCAGAAATGGGTCATTTTGTTGCGATTCAACAGTGATTCCATACATCGATGTTCTTTTTTTATCCAACCTTATTCAAACGCTTTAATTTCAAATATGTCGGAAGGTCCGAATATTTTTATGATTATTTCCATAACGTCATTTGCTTCTATATCTAATTGTATAGAACAGAACAAAAATAATTGAATGCGTAAAAGAGCGAGATCAGCTAGTCAAGTAACTCGAATATTTTAGGTATTCGATCCCAATATTTGAATACGAACATACTCAGTCTGCTCATGCTTCATAATACTCTAACACTTTGAGACACTAATGTTAACTACAAGTTCGTCTCAATCTAAATATTAATGTGCCTAAGAAAAACTATTTAAATAAAGATTATAATTTTTCATTAAGTATACTGGTTACTTTATATACCTGTAATATCGGAGTTCTTGAACTATCGGTTAGTACTGTTGTTTTCGACTAAGCTTAACCTATACTCATATTAAACTTTATAGGTCATGCTTTGGTTTTTACCTGTATCTCTCCTATAAAATTGAGATTAGTTTTAATTTAACTTACACTCTGTTTATTCTTATTATATTATATTATTTTTAAATAATAACAAAATATTTCAGATGTGTAAATATCGATCGGGTGGGTAATAATCTCTTATAAAATTATTAATGGAGTTTTTTATTTCTAGTCATCTAAAAGAGAGAGAGAGCGTTTATGATAAAATAACGAAATTAAAATCATTATGTAGTTTTTATATACAACTAACAAATTTCCTTTAATACAAAAATTAAAATATAAATTAATATTTAAAGTAAGACAAACTCAACTGATCTTCCTAATTTCGTAATTTTTTATATTTATACTTAAATAAAAATTATTATATATATATTAAACGACACAAAATAACTGTGGCACTCGTAAGGTGACAATCTACAAGAAGCTTTCCTGTCTATTGAAAACAAAATATCTCCAGAACAACTCAGTTCTTGCGTATCGAAACATACTTACATATATAAGAACTAACAAATCGAGCTCCCTAAAGCAATTTTTTATTTTATCTCTTTAACATATGTATACAATATACACACATATATATACGTATATATACATATGTAATTTATTTTGCCGAATTATTCTTATCGCTAAAAAAACTGCAATTTTTTTTATTCTGTACTATTAAAATAAATAATTATATTAATTAAAAGCAATTACAAAGCAAAAGCGAATTTTTCAAATTATATCTTAAGTATAATATTATATGTACTATACATATTTCTTAATAACTGGAACCTTATAAACTTATGCGATTTTCTTACTAAAATATTTTAAAATAAACGACAAATTGAATATTTACTGTAAACAAATTCTAAAATATCAAATATTAATATTAAAAACAAATATATTTATATATATATACATAAAGTATTTTCGCATATAATCTTAACATAAATAATTAAATTATTTAAAAAAAATAAAAATGTTAACTTAAGCGCATTATCATCTTCGAATCGTTAATGAAAAGCGTTTAATACTTTGAAAATAAACGTATTAAAAAATTTTAAATAAAATAAAATAAATACTCAGAATGTTGCAATTAACATTTGTAATCAAATTTAAATTTATTATTAGTATGTTGATATATTTCAATAAAAACAAAACTAAACCAAAAAAAAAAAATACCGAAACTTATTCAGAAAAAAAAAAATGTTAGTGCCATTTCCTTTTTTATTTATAAATACATATAATAAATAATTTATTACTTTATTATTATTTATATTTATAGTTTATAATTAATATATAACATTTTTATTTATTTCAATTTTTTAATTTCTATTATTAATGTTTATTTATTTTTTATTTTTATTTGCATAACCTTTACCCTTTATCCCTTTACCTTAACCATTGATTAATCCTCATAATCCTCAATTTTCCTTTCTTTAAATTTCCTGTTAATTTTTCTCCTTCCCACATACACATTGAAAAAATTTAGGCTATTATCGGCGAGGAGGGTCGAGAAGCTTATAATAGTCTGATTGAGAGAAAGACTACACTTGGCATTGGCGGCGGTTTTAGTCCAGCTGCAAGTTTATTAAGGCAATTAGATACAAATGAATTTGATTTAACTGCTGCAAAAACTCTACCACGTCGTTCTGTACACCTAAGAAATGACAATGAAAACCACATTGAACACTTAAGAGATGAAGTACCACAATTGTCGATACCTTTACAAAATGCGCCTAGACCCATGACACTACCGAACCGCGGTTCGGCAAGTAGAATAAAGCGTACAGAACTATGCACTACGCCAAAACATAATCTCAGTGACAGAACATGTAGTGGTAAAGAAAATGAGCATTGTAATTCCATGGAATACGATGTCAATGGTATGTTGGATAAAACCTCTCCATGTGAAAGCCCAAGCTACATGACAAACACTTCGTACAACTTTCCTGATAACGCAGCAACAACAGCAACAAAAGATGAAAATCCCATACCCTTGCCACCACGTGAGGGAAAGAAACATATCAAAACAAATCCAAAACGACATGTGCGTAAGTATCCATTAATCATTCCCGCTAACGGCGTACAACGCACACTGAATAAGGTAACAGAAATGGCGAATACATCAGCGACTGATAATCAAATCAATGGAAACGATAAACAAAAAATCACACTTGAAGTAGTGGCGACAATACGTGGAAATCCTGCAAATTCCAAATCTGCTACTAGAAAAAAAGAAGCAACGAAGAATAAGGAAGACTTGCATATATATCAGAATTTAGAAAAGCAAATGGAAGATTGCACAGATTCTGCATCTCTACAGTTTGAATCTATACTGGAAGCAGATTTTGATAAAGGCAATGTACTACTATCGCCCGATGTGACAGACGCTTTCTACAATTTCTCAATACAGAAAGAACATTATAATAAAAGCAAGGGTGTCGATTATGATTCACACAATATTTCAGGCTTATATGTTAATGAAGATGAACTTCGTAATTTGGATATTGAGAGAAATTTAAAAGTGTCTGCTTTACACGGTCTTACAAATCAAGCTACGAATAATACGCCAACAGACGATGTGTCAGAACTAAAAAAAAATCAAATCTTGGGTCAAGTTCCGGTAACAGATGATCTGGACGTTGTAGATGTAGCGACTTCTCTAAAGAAGGAAAAAATAACCAAAATTCCCAAAGAAGATACTGCCGAAAATGAACTTGCAGCCAATGCGCTCTTTAAGAAAGTGCGCGAATCAGTGAATTTAGCAACAACGAATAATAATAGTAATAATAATACTAATGACAAAAAAGCAGCAACAACAAAAACAACGCCTGAATTACAACCACCAACGGATGAAGAGCAGCTGGCAGCAACTCCAACACCTCAGCACTTAACAGGTTCAAACTCTGTGAGTTGTGAAGATTTACTTGAGTTCTCAAACAACAAACCGAAGGGCAGCGAACGTGGCGTGGATTCAGATGAAGTAAGAATTATGATGAAAGTATTGGGCAAAGATGTAAGTATTATCGTTAGAACGCTTCACTCTATATTAACTCTATACATATATTACAGACTACGCCAACACGTTGTTTAGAGTCATTGGAATCTATAGACTGGGACGTTCATAGAGCTATAAAAATTTTAAGATTACAAAAAATTTTATCAACTATTCAATTAAGTTTAGGTGAATGTGCTGAAGCTTTGATCAAAAATGAATGGGACTTACGCACAACTGCACTGAACCTAAAAGGACACTAATAACGTAAACGCAAAGGATATTTAAGTTTCCAGGGAAACAAAATTTGGCAAACAACAAATACTCACCATATGCAATATGATGTTTCGTTCAAAACATTGGAACGTTTTTATTTTTTATCATTTTATTTAAATTTTTTTTTTGTGAGGTATATGAAAGCGTGTAGGCAAACTTTAAACAGGTTCAGTAAATATTAAGTTTAGTAA